TTAAAGAGAAACCTTGTCATAGGCAGAATGAATACTAGTCAAATAGGTGCTAGGAAATGTGTTTTACAGCCTTATTTTTGTTTCAGTTGTTCAGTAGGATCTTTTCCAGTAATAGGTTTATTCTCAAATATGTAAGCAGTGAAAAGTTGTTGCCTCTATATTGCTTAGAAATTAGTTGTGGGGTGAGAATCTAAATAAAAGAGCTATTTTGTCTTGCATCATTAGGTAATCATAGAATTATAGAATCATTTAGGTTGGAAAAGCCCTCTAAGATCATCGAGTCCAACCATTAACCTAACACTGCCAAGTCCACCACTAAACATGTCCCTAAGCACCACATCTACACGTCTTTTAAATAACCTCCAGGGATGGTGACTCAGCCACTTCCCTGGGCAGCATTTTCCAATGTTTGATAACTCTTTCAGTGAAGAAATTTTTCCTAATAAATTGGAAAATTAGATTGGATAAATCTAAACCTCCCCTGGAGCAACCAACCTCCTTTCAGGGAGTTGTAGAGAGCGATGAGGTCTCCCCTCAGCCTCCTTTTCTCCAGGCTAAACAACCCCAGTTCCCTCAGCCGCTCCTCAGAAGACTTGCTCTCTAGACCCTTCACCAGCTTCATTGCTCTTCTTTGGACACGCTCCAGCACCTCAACGTCCTTCTTGTAGTGAGGGGCCCAAAACTGAACACAGTATTCAAGGTGAGGCCTCACCAGTGCTGAGTGCAGGGGGACAATAGAAATCCACAGAATAGATAACGAGTGTTCTTGGTTGTGGTTTTCAAAGCTATCACACATCTTATTCAATGTATTGTTTTTAATAAAACAGACTACTAAGGGAAAGAATGAATGAAAGCTCTAATATTAGTTTTATAAAAGACAAGATTGTTCCGTATAAACTATTTATTGATACTGCCAGTTTGTTTTATTGGCTCTTAGCCACCTCCCTCCCCAACCCTACCTCCCCAGCCCTCAAATGCAAGTGTTATAGAAATTGGGGAAGGGGAGATTAGTACAGAAACTTACTCCTGGGTTTACCTCAAGTCATAAAATGAAACAGAAATCTTTCCCTTTGAGGGAGCTAAGAACGCATTTAGTGATTAAGGGGCTACTGCACTTCAAAGAGAAGTATGCTTTAAATTAAAATAATGTGATCATATGTTAGAGGAGGGACTACTATCAAATGAAACATGCAGTTTCCCTGGGTTGGTTGTCATAAGCAGAAATTAAATCTAGACTTCTGCATCTAAAAAAACATTAATTTTCACAGTCTGAGCTGATCAGCTCCAAGCTTATTAGCTCCAAGTCAGGTCTGAGCTCAAATTTAGGTCTAGGCACTGTACGAAGACAAAGAAGCAAAGAACAAAAATTTGGTCTCCAGAGACTTGCCATTACTTTCTTGAATCATAGAATCATAGGATAGAATCATAGAATCACTGAGGTTGGAAAAGACCTCTAAGATCATCGAGTCCAACCGTCAACCCAACACCACCATGCCCACTAAACCATGTCCCTAAGCGCCTCATCTACACGTCTTTTAAATACCTCCAGGGATGGGGACTCCACCACTTCCCTGGGCAGCCTGTTCCAATGTTTCACCACTCTTTCAGTAAAGAAATTTTTCCTTACATCCAATCTAAACCTCCCCTGCCGCAACTTGAGGCCATTTGAATTTACTGTTAATTTACTTGAATTTACTGTTAATTTGCATTACTATTTTAGCTAGCTGTGCTCTTGCATACTGCTATCACAATATGATTCCAAACCTCGAAACAGACATTAAGCCACAAAATAGCTCTTGGGAAGTGGTTTGAACTTCAGATGGGCAAATGCTGTTGTGGACAAGGGTACACATTGACAGTGATGCAAAGAATAGAAGTTTAGAGGACGCCACCATTCTGTATGGTCAAAGCTTGGTACTATTACTGGTGATAGTCCAAACACTTAATGTAATAAGTTTATTTTCAGAAATACTGTTTAAAGAAACTGAGATGTCTAATGAGAATATGTTGACACAACTTGAAGTGGAATAGAGTAAAAATAATTTATTTAGATGGTGAAATATTTTGTTTTGATTTAATTTTCTTAGTTTTGAGTGTATCACTTGTATTTATTAAGATTATCATATTCATCTAACTTTACTACAAAGATTTTCATAGGGCAGCAGGAAAAAAAAATAAAAATGAAGTACTATTTCAGCACAGAGCACTGTATAAAAATCTTCAGACTTTTTATTTGATAAGGAATTTCAAATTGTCAAATTTGTTTCTACTTGAAACAGGAAAAACATGCCTTTTTAAAGAAAACTCAAAGCAAAAGTTTCTAATTGAATAAAAAAGGGGTAGGGGAGGACAGTGCATTCCAAAAGACTATATGCAGCCATTCACCAGGCAATGATGATTTGATTTTAGTTGTGAAAGCCAGAGCTCTGAACTTGCAGATTTTTTCTTACAATTTGCTTTCAGTTGCTGGTCTGCTAGGTGGTTGAAATTGCTTTCCCTCTCTGTGCATGAGTTTCTCTGTCTGTAAAATGGAGATAACAATATTGATAATGAAACTATTGCATTTTGCAAAGCCACTTCAAAGGTTAGATGAGAAGTCCTTTGTAAAATCAAGGAATTTTTAAAACAGAATCGCCTCATTCTCTCACTTGTAGATTGCCTGAATAGCTTTATGACCTGTTTCATTACAGACTCCTTTCCTTTCCTTTCCTTTCCTTTCCTTTCCTTTCCTTTCCTTTCCTTTCTTTCCTTTCCCTTTCCTTTCCTTTCCTTTCCTTTCCTTTCCTTTCCTATCCTTTCCTTTCCTTTCCTTTCCTTTCATTTCCTTTCCTTTCCTTTCCTTTCCTTTCCTTTCCTTTCCTTTCCTTTCCTTTCCTTTCCTTTCCTTTCCTTTCCTTTCCTTTCCTTTCCTTTCCTTTCCTTTCCTTTCCTTTCCTTTCCTTTCCTTTCCTTTCCTTTCCTTTCCTTTCCTTTCCTTTCCTTTCCTTTCCTTTCCTTTCCTTTCCTTTCCTTTCCTTTCCTTTCCTTTCCTTTCCTTTCCTTTCCTTTCCTTTCCTTTCCTTTCCTTTCCTTTCCTTTCCTTTCCTTTCCTTTCCTTTCCTTTCATTTCCTTTCCTTTCCTTTCCTTTCCTTTCCTTTCCTTTCCTTTCCTTTCCTTTCCTTTCCTTTCCTTTCCTTTCCTTTCCTTTCCTTTCCTTTCCTTTCCTTTCCTTTCCTTTCCTTTCCTTTCCTTTCCTTTCCTTTCCTTTCCATTCCTTTCCTTTCCTTTCCTTTCCTTTCCATTCCTTTCCTTTCCTTTCCTTTCCTTTCCATTCCTTTCCTTTCCTTTCCTTTCCTTTCCTTTCCTTTCCTTTCCTTTCCTTCCCCCACCCCTCCTCTCCTCTCCTCTCCTCTCCTCTCCTCTTTTTCAAAATAGAAAAGGAATCTGCGATGTCTGAACATAAAATGGTATACTTTTTGTCTAGTATTTTATTCTAACTACAGGAAGAGCTCTGTTTACAAATAAATGGAAGGACAGATAAGTATGTTGACGTCCTGAAGATGTGACTTATCTTTCTGTTTTTGGTGAGAAATATAACTTGGATTATTGGCTTGATGGAAGGATTGTTTCTCTAAAGCTTATTCACCTTCTTTCTAACTATAACATCTCATATAATAATAATAAAAAAAATTACCTCTAATTGAGACCTTCCTAATGAGCAAGTCAAGATGAAAGATTACAGTAATCAGAGTAATGTCCTGATGTTAAAAAACAAACAGAAAAACAACAAAAAATGCAGATAATTTTCTACACTGGGTCTAGTGGCTTGGAGTTATGCTTTGGATTTGTGACCAAAACAGTGTTGATACCAGTGCAGTGTTTTGGCTATTGCTGAGCAGTGCTTGCACAGCATCAAGGCTTTCTTTTCCTCCCCTGTCCCCACACCACAGTGAGTTGTTTTGGCTATTGCTGAGCAGTGCTTGCACAGCATCAAGGCTTTCTTTTCCTCCCCCACTCTGTCCCCACAGTGAGTAGGCCAGGGATAGACAAGATGCTGGGAAAGGACAAAACCTAAACAGCTGACCCAAACTGATCAAAAGGATATTCCATACCATATAACTTCATGGTCAGCAATAAACAATGAGGAGAGGGGCTGGGGGGTGGGTAGCCATTGCTTGGAGACTGGCTTGATTGATCTGCTTGTGGGATGTGGTGAATGATTGCCTTTGTATCACTTGATTTTGCTGTGCTTTTTTCTCCCCTATTTACTTATTAAACTGACTTTTGAAGAATCTTTATTTTGACCCAGGAGTTTTCTTGCTTTTGCTCTAACTATTCTCTTCCCTGTCCTGCTGTTGGGGGCGGGGAGGGGAGTGAGTGAGCAGCTGTGTGGTGCTTAGCTGCTATCTGGGGTCAATCCACCACAATTCCCTACTCTTCTTGTACTTTAATAACTAATTTTCAGATTCACTGAAGTGATGGAGTATTTCTTATTTCTTTGTACCCTGAGTTTAGAAAAATACTTACTCTTGAAAAATAGGTGTCTGTTTTATAGTTTTAGGTGGTGGCCTGCATAACCTAAGCTCTCTTGTTCCATATCTTGTTCAAGAAAGTCACAGGGTACAATCCTTTTCCTGCTGCCCAGAGCAGTGTTCTGCCCAACCTGTTAACTGACCTGGATAGACACAAACACTTTCTAGCCTGAGTGTCATGTACTTGCACCATGATAGTGCTGTGCCTGACCAATAATGTGACTGTGTGGTTTCTGGATTAGTGCTGATTTGTATCCCATCACTTGGTCATGCAGAGTGGACAATCTTGTCTCTTAATGCTTGTCGTAACATACTATTCATTGATAAATTAAAAGTCCCACAGAGGTCATTTCAATGAATGTGTGTTTGAAAAAAAAATGTTTTCCATACAAGACCTTTATCAAAGCTTTATGAAAATCTACTGATCTTCAGCCGTGATAATTTTTTAACCTTTTAATAATAATTTTTATTTGTTTGTTTTAATTCAGGCTCTCTGGAATGAATATACCTCCTCCAGTTATCAGCAACAAAAACTGGCTCAGACTACATTTTGTAACGGACAGCAATCACCGATACCATGGATTTAGCGCTCACTACCAAGGTACATTTAAAGAAATTTATTTTTTGTTGTGATTGTTTTTGTTAAGAAAAAAAAAGTGGTTAAAGTTCTAGAGGAAATGGGAAGGGCCATTTTTAAAAATCCTGAGAAAGGTATAGTTTGTATTTGCATAAATGGTAAATTCAGCTGTGCAATCTGTTATATCAAATTACAGTATGTTAGAGTATGGGTAGTGTATTAGCTAGTGTATCTAAATACAGTTATAAAAAAATTACAGCAGATATCTGTTTCACTTTACCCTGTGCAAGTACTTAGCTTTTAAAATGGTCCTAATATTCTGAAGGATATTGCGTAACAGATACATAAATAATGTTTTTATCATTAAAATACGTATTTGCCTCTATGGTTGTATAAGTCATGTTTGTAAAACAGTGAGTAAGTTTCTCTTTACTGATGTAGCATTTAATCACTATAATCTTTTATTACCTATTTCTGAATGCATTGTGCTATTAAAGGTTTAATTAACCTGTAAGATTCTTATCCACTGTTTTTATGAACAAGCATTTTTCTGAGTAAGAGTGAAAGCATCTGAAGCATTAACTTGGGAATATCACCATTTGGAACAAGGTCATTATAATGAATTGCTAATGAAAACTGAGCTTCATTAATGTATGGTAATACAGACTGCTTTTTCACAAGCATTACTGTAAATAATATTTTTCAGTATCTACAGTGTATCAATGGATCTTCAGGGAACAGTAACCCTTTTTGTGCTTTTGTGCTTTTCCATTTATCTGATGAAAAAAAATCACAGCGTTCTGAACGAGATTTGGTTCAGGAATTTCTTTTACAGTTCTCTATAGGAAATTTAGCATAGGAAGAGATTAGCTACATAAATGTTTGTAGAATATGATGAAATTAATTAATGTAAAAATTGCAACTAACAAAAGTCTAGGACTAATTTTTTTATGTAATTGATCTAATAGTAAACTTTTTACAACTCTGTGTGGTTGCCTCAGCTAACATATTCTATACAAGAACAGAACAAATTTGATTACTATTTCAGCAAGTATTGTGTATCTCTATTTAGACTTCCCGAGTTCATAGATGTTCTGGAATGTGTATTCTGAGTGAATTTAGGTAAAAGGAACCTTTCTACTGTAGCTCCAGGGCTGTTAAAACTGTTTACAAAGGGTACTGACTCATTTTTTGCATGGTATCCTTCATACCAAATATGATAAACCACACTCTTTACTGGGAAATCGCTAGGTTATGGGACTGTTAAAAGATATAAAGTAGAAACTTTCTCTATTACATCCTACCCCACAATTGAGATACCATGTGATAACTATTTTGGTGGTTTATGTGAAATAATTTGGATTGTTGAGATGTTCATTTTTGAACTACTGAGAAAAGGAGAGCAAACTATGTCTCAGATGACACACATACTTGCACTCCTGCCGAAAGTGTGAGGTAATAGGTAATGAAAGACAATAGACTTTTGTTTAGTTTCAAAATGTTTTTTCTGCAAGTCACATAAAACATGTGAGTTGGTAGGTGTGGGAGATTTGAATATGCTGTGTCTTCTATTTTTCTTTACCACCTAAGTTTGTAGTGATTACATTATGGGGTTTTTTGCTATTATTTTGGTTTGCTCATTTAATTTCTACTGGTATATTGCTGAATGTATGTTAAAGTGCACTCTGTACTAGTTGTGAAATGCTGCAGTAGTCCACCATGCTTAAATGAGTTGGTAGGTGTGGGAGATTTGAATATGCTGTGTCTTCTATTTTTCTTTACCACCTAAGTTTGTAGTGATTACATTATGGGGTTTTTTGCTATTATTTTGGTTTGCTCATTTAATTTCTACTGGTATATTGCTGAATGTATGTTAAAGTGCACTCTGTACTAGTTGTGAAATGCTGCAGTAGTCCACCATGCTTAAAATGAAGAAAATATCTTCTAAAACTCCTTGACAAAAAAAATGTAGGCAGTAAATAATTTCAGCATGTAAAAGCATTAAATTTGGAGGAGTGGTTTCTGGGTCGGTGGTAGGCTAAAGGAGAGAGTGTAAGGAAATTAAATAAACATATTAAAAATCTTTCATACGTTTAGAAAACAAATAAAAATGTGTACCACAAAATATTGCAGTTTGTTAAGAACTGAAACCTTTATTTTCTCAGTTAGAGACAACTTTAAGCCTTTTTGTAAAGCCCGTTTTCAAACAGTAATTTCACTGGTGCGCTGACATGAGTTGTCACAAAAGCAGATAACTGATCAAAATCAAAAAAAGTATTCCAAAGAGCTATGTAGTACAGATACATCTGCCTGTTTTTCTTTTCAGGACTTTATTTCTGCATCACTTTTGAGAGGGTGTCTGTTGATCCTTTCAATAGCCTGTATTATCACTGTACTATGCTGTAATAACTGTTGTAAAAACCTGCTCTTTCCCCTGCTTAATTAACATAGATATTACTGTAACTTCCTTCTGACTTCCCTCCTTGAAACTTAATCTTTCCTACATAGTACCACTATATTATTCTGTTGTTGCCTCTTTCGAAGGAGCCAGATTCCAAATTGTGAAGTTCAGAACACTGCGTAATTCTTACTCCATCACTGTTTGGCACTTCAGTACTCTTTTCACCTTATCACTCCCTTGGCTTGCTGGTTTTGTTTGCACAACTGCACATTTTGTGCTAGTGTATTTGGGTGGTGGTTTGACCCTGAATAGCAGCGAAGCACTCCCACAGCCACTTGTTCACTTCACCTCCACAATGGAACAGGACAGAAAATAAGAAGAACAAGAGTGAGAAAACTCGTGGGTTGAAATGAAGGCAGGGAAAATCACTCATCAACTAGTGTCTTGGGCAAAACAGTCTTAATTTAAAACATTTAATTACTGATTTGGGTGGTGGGAAACAAAGACAAATATTTAAACAATTAGGGAAAACACCTTTCCTCTCCCCTTTTGCAGGCTTAGCTTCATTCCAGACACCTCTCCTTCCCATTCCTCTACCTACTCCACCACAGATTACACTTTGTCTCATCGATGATGTGATGGGTAGTGCAGGATGTTCAGGTCAAGGTGTAGGAGTTTCTTTCTGCTACTCCTCATTTCTCATTCTTTTCTTCTGCTGTTCCTTCCTTCTTACTCATTTCCTCTGCTCTGATGTGGGTTGACCATGGGCCACAGTCCCTTAGGGGAAGAACCTGCTCCAGTGTGGGTTATCCATGGGCTCTAGTCCCTTTGAGGGTGTTACTAGCTCTGGAATGGAGCACTCCTGCTTTGGCCTTGTTCCTTTCTCTTGGTGTTTACTGCCTTTTCTTAAATACATTTTCACAGAGATGCCACAAATTCTGCTGATGGCCTCAGTTGTGTCCTGTGGTGGGTCCATTGTGGAGCCAGCTGGAACCAGCTGTGACCAGCATGGGACAGCCCCTGACCTCCCATCACAGAGGTCACATGTGCAGCCCCCCTGCCTCCCTGCTACCAAAACCCTGCCATTTATACCAATTACAATCTGAAAAAAACCTTGTTGGTTGTTTTATTCAAACAAAAGAAAATAAACAAGTTTTATGGCCACTTTTTAGGCAGGATATGAAATAACTAAATCTTATCCCTTTCTGTTCTCTTAAATATATGAAAATTGTTTTTTTAAGATTCTTTTTCACAAGGCAGCCTCACATGGCCTAGCTGCAGTGTAATATCTAAAGCTACCGTGGCCTAGACATTTGAAAAGACTAAAAATGATGCCATGCAGTGTCTTAAAATCTAGCTGCATATGAAAAAAAACAACAGAAAACCTAGGGTATTACATAATCTTTTGTAAACATCCTTTTAATTTCATTAATTGTCATATTTTGCCTAATTTTCTGTTTAAGGCTTCAGTCTTGCAAACACCTGTGAAAATGTTTAAATTGGCTTATACAGAATAAATGAAATTTACTGAGGTACATGAAGCTATGGGGAACTCAGCTTCATATAAGTACATTGTCATGCAGGTTATGTGTATTAATTTCTTTTAATAGGCATTTTAATTCACACAAGCTATTGAATTATACAATATTTAAAAGAGGTTGGTAAATAATAATCAGTGATATATGTCAATTGGAAGAGAATCAAAATGTTTCCCTACCCAGGTTGTGGTGTCATAACCAAGACAAGCGTATTCTTGCTTGTCTGATCACCCTTGTTTCAGCACTTCTTTCTATTCACTGAGCGTTCTTTGTCTTGATGTTTTCTGTCCTTACTGCTTTGTTAAAACTCCTTTTGAGTTAGAAACTGTTGGCTGAAGTAGAACCAGAGCTTCTTTGGATCTTCCTGAAGCTGCTGCTTCAATGTTTCTTGGCACTGGTAATCCTCTTTTGCTGTTTCTAAATTTAGTTGTGCTTTTTTACTCCATCCGTTCGCAGTTCCTGTAAATGTTCCTTTTACTTGCTGCTTTCTGTTGGCTACTCTTTGCAGTCCATCACTTAACGTATGAATCCATAATATTATCTAAGTGGACAGAAGGGATTAAGTTAGCTTCACAGCTTCCAGTCTTACAGGCTGGTGTACACAAACTTCAATATTCTTTACGTCAAGCATACCTGGACTCTGAAGGGGCTTTTGGAAAAGAATTCTTCATTTTCTCATAGTGAAACGTTACTTTAAGAATCTGTAACTTTGCTATCTTTTGAGATCCAGCATCCTTTCTCTCTCCCTCTCTCCCTCCCTCCTCCTTTAAAGCTCTGGAAGGTTTCAGTAGTAGCCCTATACTTGCTATTTAATTCACTTGTGAAATCCATTTCTTTTAACTGCTTTTGCTTCCTTCCCCCTTTCCTTTACCTCTGTTTAAGCCATGTACAAACTAATGCTTCTACTATGAACAAAATAGTATCAAATATGTTAAGTGCACAATTGCATCTGCCTTCCATTAAGAATCTTTGTTTATAGTAAAGTACAGATGAAGAGATGAAATATATCCACGAGCTTTTCAGAATAGGATAAAATTTAGCTGTCATGCTCATGTTGAAAAGCATGCAAATGGTTACTCTGCTTA